AAAATCAACAAATTTAAAAAATGAGTTATATTTGAGGAAAAAGCATAAAAATTTGCTTCATGAGAAGAAGAAGAAGTGAAAAACATTACCATTGAAATCTACCTGATGACTTTATATCCATGCTCAGATGCAAAGGAAAGCTCAGAATGTAACCTACTCACTAGTTATAATCAGATATACAGAGATTAGAAACGCATGTGCAAACATCTTAATGTCAGTTGCATTGAAAATGAATTTTTCTGTATGAAACTGTATTTTAATAATGAAATGTTCCTTTTTAAAGTTTAAAACCTCATTTAATTTTATGTCTTACAGGGTTTATACTGAGTATAATATTGTATAACTGTGATAATTCAACTGTAAACCTAAAACTTTACAGCCAATTTTGAAAAAGATGCATCTTAGTTCAGAAAATTTGTTATTGAATATGTCAATGCTGTTGTAATGAAAAAAAAAAGAACTAGACTTAGAAAATTAATTCCAAAATAATTCCTTACTTTGATCAAAGTTATCATTATGATCTCTTAACATTTGTCTCTGAAATAGCAATTAAAAGTTGTATTTCAAAGTATGTGCATAAAACTATAGAGCAGCTATTGGAAACATTTTAGTTTTATTTTTAAAACATTTTATTTTATGTGTATGAGTGTATCGCATGCATGTAAGTGCACCTGTGTTATGTAATGCCCATGGAGGTCAGCAGAGGGCATTGGATCCATATGGGTGTTGGAACTGAACCTGGATCCTCTGCAAGAGCAGCCAGTGCTCTTAACCACTGAGCCATCTCTTCAGCCTCTCCATCTCAATTTATGAGATTTTTTTTTTCTTCTGGTCTTTTTTTAAAAAAAAATTTTCTTGAGACAGGGTCTCCCTGTAGCCCCAGCTGGCCTGAAACTCACTATGTAGACCAGGCTGGCCTTGAGCTCACAGAGATCTGCTGCCTCCTGACTGTTGGGACTAAAGGTGTGTGCCACCATGCCCAGCTTTTTATAAGATTTTGTAATGTAGGTATTTGCCATCTGCACTCTACTAATCAAGAAACCCAGTTCTAACAAATAACTTGCACAGTCCCACGAACAACCAGTGACATAGCCAGTATTTGAACTCAGCTTTGTACAGTTCAAAATGGAAACCTCTGCCACTTCCAGTATAATGTGGTCCCCTCCGTTCTTGATGCTCACGAAGTTTACCAAGGCTTTCTACCACTACAACAAAAATATTGATCCTACATTGCCAAATAGTCTCAGAAGGCCAAGGTGTTATGCTCTGGGACTACAGAACCCTCTAAAAATGTCCGACTTCTTGCTGACCAGGAACAAACTCAAGGATCCACCGGAAACTCATGCATAGAAATCATATTAAGGGTTTATTTATTTATTTATTATTTATTTATTTTTTGGTCTTTTTGAGACAGGGTCTCCCTGTAGCCGCAGCTGTCCTGGAACTCACTATGTAGACCAGGCTGGCCTTGAACTCACAGGAACCCGCCTGCCTCTGCCTTCCCAGTGCTGAGACTAAAGGCATGCGCCACCACTGCTGGCTAAGGGTTTATTTTTAATGATTTTTTTCTCACTATAAAGATATTACAAGCCAGGCTGGAGAGATGGCTCAGGGGGTTACCAGAGCTTGCTGCAGGACTTGAGTTTGTTTCTAGCTCTCTTGACAGGAGCACACCCTGGGACTGCGGTGGGTGTGTGTGTGAGAAAAAATCCTTACTCTCTCACTGTAACCACTGATGACAACATATTTGGGTTCATTTATTTGTTACAAAATTGGAGGGACACCATGCTATGATTTGAATCTGAAATGTCCCCCACAGCCTCCTGTTCCGAACACTTGGTTCCCAACCTCTGTACTTTCTGCTCATGCTGGTGCCCCCATCTGCCAACCGCCCCCCCCCAAGGTCTCTTAGCCTCCAATTCCTGCTCCTGAAAGCTTCCCAGAGTTCCCTAGGAGACTGGCAGTTCTTCAATTCCCTTTGCAGCAACTTTGCTTGTTCCCTTTGCTTGTATGTTTCCCAATAGAGTGTAAGTTTTCTGAGGGGCAGGCGTTGTCTTTTTATCCCGTTTACCCCAGAAAAATGACCAAATATACAGTAAGTAGACAGAAAATAGACATTTGGTAAATGAGTGGAAAAAGTTTTTTTTTTTAATTAAAACTGGGCACAGCAGCACATGCCTGTAATCCCAGCATGCTCTCCGGTGGCTGGGGCAGAAGCGTTGCTGGGAGTTGGAGGACAGCTTGGACTACAAAGTAAGACTGTCTCAAAAGGCCCCAAAACATACAAACAAATAAAATATTAAATCCAAAGATGAACTATGCTTGGCTCTCATTCTGGTTTCCACCACCACTCCTCAATCTTGAGTTCCAAGTCCCCAAGCTCCGCCACACTTCCTGACTGCAAACACACTACGTTCCCTGGTTCCCAGCGGCACTGTGGAAGAGGCCCTTGATTACGCTCTTTTGTGATAAAACTGAGGGTCATTTGCAGGAGCTTTCAACGTAGATACAAACTACCAACAAGTGGAAACTAACTGGACAAGTCGAAAGAGGCTGTAAGATGTCCAGCAAGGCCCTGCAGACTCAGGACAAGCCCCCTACCCTCTACCCTGCAGACTCAAGACAAGTCCCCTACCCTCTACCCTGCAGACTCAGGACAGCCCCCTACCCTCTACTCTACCCTGCAGACTCAGGACAGCCCCCTACCCTCTACTCTACCCTGCAGACTCAGGACAGCCCCCTACCCTCTACTCTACCCTGCAGACTCAGGACAGCCCCCTACCCTCTACTCTACCCTGCAGACTCAGGACAGCCCCCTACCCTCTACTCTACCCTGCAGACTCAGGACAGCCCCCTACCCTCTACTCTACCCTGCAGACTCAGGACAGCCCCCTACCCTCTACTCTACCCTGCAGACTCAGGACAGCCCCCTACCCTCTACTCTACCCTGCCCCGTCAAGCCATCTTTCTATCCTCTACGCTACTCTACTCAGGACAGCCCCCTACCCTCTACCCTGCAGACTCAGGACAGCCCCCTACCCTCTACCCTGCAGACTCAGGACAGCCCCCTACCCTCTACCCTGCAGACTCAGGACAGCCCCCTACCCTCTACCCTGCAGACTCAGGACAGCCCCCTACCCTCTACCCTGCAGACTCAGGACAGCCCCCTACCCTCTACCCTGCAGACTCAGGACAACCCCCTACCCTCTACCCTGCAGACTCAGGACAAGCCCCTGCCCCTCTCTACTCAGCTTCACCAATTCCTGTAGGCAGACGTTTAACAACTCTAAGCCAAGAAGAAACGAAAACCCAGCGTACAAAAGGCCCTACTCTCCTGTGGTGGACGGTCTGAGTAAGGCAGAATGGCGCCCTGGTGGGCTGAGTCTCGCGGGAAGTCACACCGCCAAGCCTGGGCTGAGGGCCCATCTCCATCACGTGACTACCCCCCCACCCCTGCGCTCATTAGGATGCCAAGGCGCCTTTTACTCCATTTACACGGATCATGAGACATCACGCGTGGCACGTGGCAGGGCCCTGGGAGTCTGGCCGTCCCTCCGCAGACCGGGGTGGCCCCTCCCGCCCCGTGGGTGTCGAGGCGGCGCAGGGTGGGGAGGCTGATCGGGACGAGCCACATGTGGAGGGCGCCACGCGCGCCGTGGGAAGGGGGATCCGTGGGCACCGGGACGCGCGGGGACGGGCGCTACCTGGCGGCGATCCGGTGAGGTTCCGGCCCTGCGGGTCCACCGCCTGCAGGAAGAAGTAGCGCACCGGCAGGACGGCGGCCGCCTGCAGCCCCGGGCCCCACGCCAGGCTCCTCGGCCCGCTGACCCGGGTCTCACGGGCCCCCACGGCCACCAGCAGGGCGAGCTGCAGCGGCAGCAGCGGCGCCCGCGGGACCCGGACGCGGCGCATGGTCGGCCGGCGCTGGGCTCCGTGGCTGCGGGGAGGGGACACCCGGGGGCGGGCCTCTGCGAGCCGCCGCCCCGGCCGGGCCCTGCTGGGGGGACGCGGGCGCGCGCCCCGGTCCGCGGGAGACGCCATCATCCAGGGTGCCCAGGCTCCACCACCAGTGGCTTGAGGGTCTCAGCAGTCTGCAGGAAACCGGCTTGATTTTTGTTTTTGTTTCCATTTATTTTATTTTGTGGAGAGTTAAGATATTTTACTTTTTTCATTTTGTTTTTCTTTTTTGAGACAGGGTCTCTCTCTCTCTAGCCCAGGCTGGCCTGGAACCTAAGTAGCCCAGGCTAGCTTTGAACTGATGGCAGTACTCCTGCCCCAGCCTCCTTGAGTGCTGTTGTAATTGCCGGCGTGAAGTACCATGCCCTTTGGAGAAAACCTTTCTTTAAAGGTCGCAGACCCAGGGTTGGGAATGTGACTCGGCGGTACCGTGTTTCTCTAGCATGTTGAAGGACCAGGGTCTGGTCCCCAGTACCAAAAATGGAGCGAGAGGCATGCCTTTCCTGCCAAGAACTTTGGTTAGGGAATTTTCCCGAATTTACAATCTTCAAAGCGCGGCGGGCCTGCCAGCCACACACAACTCCAGACCTTGGTTCACTCTGGAGTGTTATTCCCTCCGCACCATCTTTTCTGAGTATCCACTGAGTTTGTCCAAACCTTGTGTGAGGAGTAGGGTACAGACAGCAGAAGGCAGGATCTGGGTTGCCTTGAGCTGGATGGGTGAGCTTCACCCCCAAAGTCAGGCTCCATCTCTCCATCCCCCTCGGATGGGTAGGATGAATGGCCTCAGTCACCTCCCCACTCTTCAGCCCCAAAAGCAGTCTGTTCACTTTTGCTAATTTTTTTTCCTTCTTATCTGCATAGCCCTTGAGTTTTAGAAAGTAAAGATTCAACCCAGGGTGGGAGAGCTGCAAAGTGCCCATCCTCCAAATTGGACATATAACTTCTGCCCCTCTAGACAGACCTTAATCCAGAGCATGTCACAACCAGGCCCTCAGCCTCCCCTGGCTCTCTGGGCTTTAATTGGACTGCTGGACATTTTTCTGTGGTCAGGTTTTTCCAGGGCACAGCTTCCCCATATTTTCACTAGCTCTTTTGACTTGTTTAGAAATGCTGGGTTTGGGTCTAGGTCACCAACTGAATCAACCCAACCATGTACATGAAGTGTCAAGAGTGGAGAGGCCTTCATGGAAAGAGCCCCAGGGTGCTGTGTGCACTCCACAGTGCTCAGGCTTCCAGACTGCATGGCCTCCACCTCTCCTGACCTCTGCCCTTGGAGATTGTAGACAGTGCTCTTTGGAGTTTCAAAACCTTGTCAGGAGTGGTAGTAATTCTCTGGTAAATTGCAGGGCTAGTATGTAGCATTGCTTGGTATGACTTTCACTGATATTTTTTTCTGGATTTGTCTGCATGCTTTAGCTAGCATTAAGAAACAACTGTAGAAAACATTTTGTTCACACTCTTCCAAAATTGGACGTAATTTTCTTTCCCCAGAGGAATGAGCTGCAGATTATCTGGCCCTGGGTGATGATAATATTTTGGGGGAGGAGTACCATCAAGGAAACTGTACAATTGTACTTGAATACCCTCTTGTTTAGCAATGCTGAGTATGTACCATCCTGGTCTCTCTCATTCTCTTTTTTTTTGGGGGGTGGGGGTGTCAGGATCTCCATGTAGCCTCAGCTGGCCTGGAACTTACTATGTATACCAGGCTGGCTCACATTTCATAGAGATCCACCTGCTTCTGCCTCCCCAAGTGCTGATACTAAAGGCGTGCACAACTACACCCAACTCTTCTTTCTCTTAATCTTTATCTAAAGAACACATCTCTTTAGATCAACCAGTGCCTCAACTAGATTTTATTTTATTATTTTTATTTTATGTGTATTATTGCCTGCATGTGCATGTCGTACAATGCCCAAGAGCCCAGAAGAAGGTGTCAGATACTCTGGAACTGGAGTTACAGACAATTGTTAGCTGCCACGTGGGTACTGAGAATCGAACCTGGGTCCTCTGCAAGAGCAACCAGTGCTCTTAACCACGGAGCCATCTCTCCAGCCTCCCTCAACTAGATTTTTAAAACTCATCATTTTTTAGACAAGGTCTCACTATGTAGCCCTGGCTGGCCTAGAACTTCCAGAGCTCCACCTGCTTCTGCCTTGCAAGTGCTGAGATTAAGGACATGCACAGCCATCACCATACCTGGCCACATTTCATTCTTGCAACAATGAAACAAAACAATTTTTTTTTTTAATGGGAGGGACTGAACATACTAAACATGAGCTCTACCTCCAGTAGCCAGCAAACATGTAGGCAATGTCTGCTGCATTTAGGTACCAAAGAAGGACAGGAGTCAGTATCAGCCAGGTGTGGTGGCACATGCCTTTAATCCCAGCACTTGGGAGGCAGAGGCAGGGGGATCTTTGTGAGTTCAAAGCTAGCCTGGTCTACAAAATAAATTTCTAGGCCAGTTGGGGCTACAGGGATACCCTATCTCAAAAAGACAAAAACAAAACCCAAAAAGGTTTAAATTTAGAAGGGAAGACTAACGTGAGTGTCCATGGCTGGGACACTGTACTGCCTAAAAAGGAGAAAGCAAGCTGAGCACCAGCATTCCTCTCTCTTTGCTTCCTGACTGTGGGTGCAATGTGACCAGCTGCCTCACACTCCTGCTGCTGTGACATCTCTGCCGTGGTGGACTCTAGTCTAAAACTGAGCTGAAATAAACTCTTCCTTCCTTTGGTTGCTTTTGTCCAGTGTTTTAACACAGGAGAAAAGTAATGAATACAGGAACTTTACCACTTTTACAGTAAACAGAATTCAGCCTGCATCTGATAGGTGTGGGAATGTATCTCATCTCTCAAGATTGTGTTGCTCTGAGAATGGTCTAGGGGAAGAGTTGCTGGGGACTGACTTACATTCGTGATATCTCAAGCCAGAATGTTCAAGGATATTCATGCCAGATGGCCTCTTCCAACAGTCTTTTGCTCACTGTCTGAAGTCAAGCTAGCCTAATCTTCAGGGAAGTGAGAGAGGCTTTTTGATGGAGATGGCATCTGTGCTGAACCTTGAAGGTCAAGTAAGAATCAGCTCGTAAGGCACCAACACAGCTGAGTTGGGAAGGCATATGAGACTGAAGAATCAGCCACATAAAGAAAGGGAGGAGAATGTTCCGGATAGGAAAAATGCCATGCAGAAAAAGAAAAAAACAACAATTAAATCCCAGCCCAGTGGCAGAATACTTTTCTTTGCTTGTGTGAGGTCCGGGGTTCAATCCACAGCACCGCCAAAAAGGAAAACAAAACAGAAAACTCGGAATAAATAATAACTTTAAGTTTTGCTCTCTTTCTCACATTCATCTCTGTATTGAGTTCTGACGTCAGACACAGAGCTGTGGTCCTGTGACCCTGGAAGGTCTAGACTGATTCAGCAGACTTTGACAGATTGCACTGAAATCTTAACAGTGCATAAAATTCACAGCTGATTGTTGTTCACGCCATTTTTTTAACATTTGTGCTTGCTTTAGTGTTCTCTCTCTGGTCCTACCTCCCCTTCTCCCTCTCTCTCTTCTCTTCTTTCCCTTCTCATCTCCCTTCACCTCTTCCCTTTCTCTTTATCTGTTTGATTGACTTATGATTGGGGACCTGAGTCAATATGCATGCTAAAATAATTAGAATCCATTTCCTGGGAGATTTAAAGTCAAGGCTGGGATATTCTAACTTGCAAATGACTTGTCAGAGGCAATATAAACTTTGCCTTTTTTATTTATTTATTTATTTTTATTACCTGCTGAAGTAGAAGAGAAATATAGAACTTCTCTGGGCTCACTATAAAGCAACAACGCTTGGTACCATTCATAAGTAGCATCTCTGCCTCTGGGTTCTATATAGTAAATGCCTCTTGAAGGAATTGTTTGTTTTTTATATCATTAATAAAAGTGGTACATAGGATTAGATTTTGTTCCATAAAACTTTTATTTTACTAATATTTATTCAAGACTTATGGTACAATCTTCAAGGTGCTGAGGATATTAAGTCAGACCCTTCCCTTCCAAATATTATGATGTAAGGATAGATTTTTAGATTGTGAGATACTTGGTTTAAATATTAACCAGCAGCTAGAACCTCATAATAAAGGAGTATTTTCTCATATAAATGACACAGCTAGTTGTTGGTCCAGTGTGAGTGAGACACTCATCCCTAAACCAGTCATCTGTACCCAGACAGTATCATGTGAGAACATCCCTTCTTCCAGTCAACACAGCCTGGGCTGATGGTGTGGGACCCAAGAATGGAACTGCCAAAGAGAAGTGGAATGTGTCCCAGAAGCAAGCACACGTGTCTGCTACCTTCCTCAAAAACATTTTCAGAAGCACTTGGGAGTTTACCCCGCACTATGATGACAACATAGAACATTTGTTTGGGGGAAGGAAGCATGGGTCTTGAATGTGTATTGTTTATATTATTGAATAGCAAAATTTCTGGCTGGAGATGTCATTCAGTGGTAGAGCGTTTCTGTAGCATGTTCAAGGCCTTGCAGTTGATCCCTAGCATTGAAATCTGTGAATCATTCAATCATCAACACAAATGCAAAGTTTCATTAACTTAAGTAAAATTACTAATTTTTTTTTTAAAAAGTAACATTCTCTGGAACAGTAAATATTTTAAAAATTATCTTCAATTACACTTACACAATAAATATGTTTAATTTCCCTGAAATCTTCATTTTCATTGACATACAGTTCTACTTAAATGTAATAATCACAATTCTACACATATATTTATGCATCTCTGCACATATATATATGCACATATGTGTGTATGTAACAGTTCCTCTTTTGGAAGATGTCATAATTAGCCCTCTTCTTTCCTTTTTGTTCTAGAATAAAACTCCTGCTACCCAACAATCAATGTTAAAAATCATACTCTGTGTCATGTATATGGAGGTTTGGGGTTAAAGCTTTACATAAACGAAACTTTGTTTTCTCGTTCAGTAGTATCTCAT